ACCTAAGAACATCCCCTTTCCATTTCAGACTCTAAAGAATTTAAGGCATTAAATGCTACAACATACCTGTCTTTCAATTGTAGGTACTGCTTCAATGAAAAAAAAGCTTAAAAACCATGAAATAAAATCAAGTCCACATATAGCTATTGTATGATTCTGATCTCTGACTTGTAAATTAGATGTAACCTCCTCTCTTCAGCAACCTGCAGATCTCTTTCCTATCAGGATGGCTATGTTAGCTGTACCTTACTATGACCAAAAACGTGCAGTAGTGGCAGTGGCACACTGACAAATTGAATGGTATAGGCCTTGAATAAAGATATCAAGGTAGGTCATGAGGAAATCTTTTTCTGTTTGTACATGAGCTGTGCAAACTACATAAAATGTAATCTATGTTTTATATTCCAGTCTGCCAGAGTTTTTGTTGACTGCTAAGATGAAAAAAAAAAAAAAAACGTTAAAGATTCACTGAGGAAAGAAATGGGATTTAACTTTGAGAGAATCTACCCACTGAATTTCCCAGCACAGCTTTCAAATTCTCTATACCTGATATTAATAGATGTATGCCAAAAGCAGGAACTGTAACCAAATAAAATGATTTGGTTCAAAAAAATATTTTGATGTTTGTTTTCTTGTGATTTAATAGTTTTAGAAAACATATAGGTTTATTTCCAGTTAACACCTGCTCATTAAATCACTTTAAGTAAACTTAGTTAATAGGTCTGAAGATATTAATTTATTAGTATTTTAATTAACAGTCATTATTAATTTATTAACTGTTCTATGCACATGAATACTATACAGTATGATTTCCTACTTACTATTGAGTTCAAGAGCAAAAAGATATTTTCCTAGAAAATTCTGGGTACAGTAGCTTTTTGTAAATAAAAACATTTTAGATACTCTAGGGAAAGGGAAATTTCAAGAATCTCCTAAGTAAAAATTTCCATGTGAAAATCACAGTCCTTAAATTAACCTCTCCAGGTTAACTTTTTTAGGTTAAGCAGATATTTTTATTGACAATATTTCCCTTAGAGTAATAAATCCAATAATAATAGGTGATAATTACATAAGTTCCATAAATGAGCAGGAACTTAAAGAATGATTACCAAAGCAATTATCATATATCATTATGGAATAATACATTACATATTCCCCAATTAAAGATCAAATTTATTTCAACCTCCCTCACCACATCAAAAAAAAAAAAAAATCATTTCTATTTAGTGATAAAGTCCTTGGAATCATAGTAAGGCTTGATGCCATACTGGTGTCACACTCTTCCAGTCATCCAAAGAATATGTGAGTCTTCCCTTTTTCAACTTCTTTGTCTACTAGTGTTTCATTGGACCCAGCAGGTAGCTAATCCAGACAATTTCTGTAATGGATTTTGGCTCTCTGTGCATAATAGACAAAAACCTTCATGAAGTTTCCAGTTTGTCTTATAGCTGAGAGATTTGAACCTGCTGCAGATGTCACATCTAAATTCTTGAATAGATTTTTATCATCAGTGTCATCTCTTTCCCCTCTTCCTCCTCATCTCAATCCTTCAGTGTTCTTGATTGCTCCTAGAATAAAGTCCAAACTCCTTACATTGCTATACTTCTTGGTTTGCCCAAGATGGTTTCTGTTTATTTCTGTTGTACTAACATGGTTATTATTAGCCTCTCATTCATTCTCAAGTGTCCCAATTAGGACAATCAATTATATGTTTTGAGTAGCTTTAAAGATCTGATAAACTGGCCTCTGTTTACTTCTCTAGATTGATCATTAAGCACTCCCCCGATTTCTCTCTCTTCTCTAGTCAATCTTAACTCTTCTGTGAAGGCTCAGCCTGAGCACTGCACCAGAATTTACTACCTTTGCAAGATGCTGCCTAGTATATACTAATCCTATTGGTAACATATCAATGGCATATATATCCCTATTGTAACTGTTTATATTCCCTCTTAACCTGTAAATTCTGTAAAGGAAACTCTGCCATTTAGGGTGTGACCCTGAGCAGGTTACTCGACCTTTCAAAGCCTCAGTTTCCCTATCTGTAAAATGAGGATAATTGCATTATTGTTAAGATCAAATGATGTAAAGCATGCAACATTGCCTACGGCCATGCCACCCTAAACAAGCCCACTGTCTGATCTCAGAAGCTAAGCAGAGTCAAACCTGGTTAGTACTTAGATGGGAGACCACCTAGGAAGACCAGATGCTATAGGCATAAATAACAATAATATTTTTTAAAAGCATGTAAAAAGTTTAGTCCATCATCTTCATCATTTTATGGTTTAAGAATTATATATATAGTCAAATGTATTTTTCCCTCTAGAGCTCCTTCAAATTGTCTTCTTTTCACATCTAATCTTTTCATTTTGTTTTATGTACCGTATTTATCAAACAGGTAGAGATAAAGATTGCTTCTTCTTAACACAAATACAGCAAGTCTCTCCACAATAGAGTTCTTTTTAACTTTATGTATTTCCTTTAAAACACATACACACACACACACACACACACGTTCATACAGAAAGTTATCTTCTGGAAAATGAGATAATACCAGAAACTATTAGCACTACTCAGGCAATATTTCTTTCCCCCCTGTCCTTGTGTGTAAACACATATAAGCCTCCACAGCAAATTCTACATATACCAAATATAGTATATTTGTAAGAAAATATACTTAAACGTATTATAAAACAATAAAAACCAAATATATTAATTTGTAGAAAACAATGGCTTCTATCATTTAAATGTTGTTTATTAATAACTAAACATTGTTTTGGAGAAAAAAAGCCCTATTTTAAAAAATAATAATTCAACTAATTAATGGGTCTTACAGACTGGACACTGCATATAATATATTTAAAGCTCTTTTGAGTTTCATAATTGTGAAGGAAAATATGTGGGTATTTTCTTTTATAAATTTTAAGCCAAAAATTCTGGCTTCCGGAAGTGAAAATTTTTAATTACATGACTGTACATTTTATTCACTGATCACACTTTTTTTTCTTTGTTACTTGTACAATTTCATAATAGATTGCCTTTGTTTAGTAATGTAAGATAATACACTAAAAATGTCTAGATCTTTTCTGTTAATTATTAAGGGAAAATTAATTCATTTCTTCAGGAGTTAAATTTATACAAATAAATTCAATCCATAGCATGCACCATTGCTCATGCTTTCTAATATCTTGCAAGTATCTAGAATGTTATGTTTCATTTTCACCCATAAATCCATAAAAATTTGCTTCTCCACAGCAAATATTGAATTATTTCCCACCTATTTTATTGTTTCTAAAATTTTAAAAAATGTTTTTAAAATATCTGTAAAATCGTTTTTAAAAAATATGTATATTTTAGTAACCAGAGTTTCACATATCTGATTGCTGAATTTACCAAACCTACGAAGGAATAAGTATTTGTCTTCAGAAACATTTTTAGTGATTTTAATTTCTAAGAGAGACATCACTTATACATAATCTGTATATATAGCAAATAAAATACTGTATAATCAAGATCTTTGAAATAAACTTTTCTCTCACCTACTTGCGAATCTGTTCAGAATACTTTATTAAATGTCAGCTATGAAACTATATTAAAAATATAGATAAACAATATTGCAATTTTCACTTAACTTGCCCAAATGCTTACAGTCAGGTATTTTGCTCTCTGCTATGGCACACAATTGCATTTTTCCTAAGCACTCAAAAGCAGGCTGGAAGACTCCTTGTTCATCAGTTGTAAATAATGTACCAAATGTAATACAAGTAGAAAAATGCTGAAGAGGGATATGTGAATTTTTAATATGATTATTACTTTACAACCATGAAACTACTTTAGCATAGGCTAGTAACCCTTAATTACTTTGACTGGGATTAAACAATGCCCTATGATGGTGACCCTGTGGCAATCAGCATACTTTTATAAAGTGATGATCTGAACTTAAATCTTATTTTTAATTCTTCAGTCTCAAGTGTTTTCATGTGGTTATTTGGAAAAACTTCCCTTAAGATTCCACAATCTTACAATAAAAAATTGTTTAAGGATAACATTCCATTATTAATTTATCATATTGATAAACATTTATTGAATGTGTATTATGTGTCAAGCACTATGCTGAGTGCTGAAAATATAAAATATAAAATATAAAAATGATTAACACTTGAGCTGTAGACAAGATCATGTAGATAAAACCATGAGAAGCTTAGAGTATTATGGAAGAGACGATAAATGTACAAACTACACAAAAGATTGTTAGGGAATAAGGTTTTTAAAAGGTGCTGTGAACACAGAAACGTTACACATAATCCAAAGTAGGGGAGGAGAGGATGGTACAGAAGCTTTCTTGAAGGAAGTATTGATAAATAAGCCCACTGACTTGCTTGCAGTGTGGCCTAGTGATTAAGAGCACAAGTTTAGCTAGCACCACCTATTACTAGCTGTATGAGATTGGGCAAGTTACTTTGTCATTCTAAGCTTGTTTCCTTGCTTACAAAATGGATATACTCTAATAGTATTTACCACATAGGGCCATTAAGAGGACCAACTAAGATAATCAGTAAAAAAAAAAATTATGATTATTACATAATAATCATATTAAAATATGCTAGTATTCTGGATATTGTAATGATAATCTACTTCTCTCATGACACACATCCCATTCAGTGTACAACCTGGTGGTTTCCAGACTTCTTGGCTAAGATATACATGACCTATACACCTAAAAAAGAAAAAAAAACTGCTTGATCCCACCAACCCTGACCTTCTCCTCCTCCCATTTTCTGTTATTAGCCAGGCTTCCTAATCCCCCCCCCAAAAAGTCTTCTTGACTTCCTGTCATTACTAGACAAGCCTGCACCATGTCCACTCTTTCAATATGAGCCTGACCAGCAAGGGGTCTCTGGACTATGTAGCCACCATAACTCTCTTTATCTTCCTCTGACCCCAGATCCACCAGAGGATCTCTTGCCCTTCATCCTCACGCAACTCTGGTGGGTGTTTCTTACCTATGTTTGGTGATTTTTAAGCAGTTCACTTAAACAACTTTGTCTTCCAAATACTGGCCACCACGGTTTTTGAGCCAGAGGCCAACATTTCATTTCATTTGGAGTGAGCATCACTGCAGAAACAGACAGAAAAACACAATGTGATTAGAATACAAAATCATTGAGGTTTGTAAAGATGAGAAAGGCTAGTGCTAGAAACAATAAAACAGTATGGCTTTTGTTCTTTCTCATGTTATCTTCTTTAGGATCATGATTATATTTTACAACCAGTCTTTTCCCTGCAGAAATCTCCCATTAGCCACTTTGCTACCGAGTGACCCTTTCTAAAAGGTCTTGATTTGCAGAAACACTCATGGGAGGAAAAAGAGTTCAGCTCAGCTTCTTCCTGTACATTCACCTTTCTGAGGGCTTCCACCAAGTTTTGCCAAAACAGATGCAAGTAGCAGCAAATAATGATAATAATAAATGAAAAATTGGTTAAAAGACTTCTCCCTATTCAAGTGGCCCACTGGTAGAAATAAAGTGTACCTTATTTCTAAGAATGTAAAAGATGCTTTGGACAACAGAATTATTAGGTAAAATGCTATCAACTCTAGGTTCCAAATTTTGTTTTTACAAAATTATTTTGGCTTTACCAAAGCATTATTCCCACTTTCTAAAGATCAAGATGGACTATATTAATTTGATGTAATTTGTTCCTCACATTGGATATTTTGCTTTGTGCACGTGTACCTCCATGCCCATGAAACTCTTCATATGTTTCAAAGTCCAAAATATTAAAGCATTAAATTTATTTCTATTTGAGTCCCGACGACAAAATAATTTGAAATTCACACATAACTACAAAAATGTTATATCAATTTAGGGCAGAAATTTTCAGTTGCCTCATGTTTCCACTAAAATGTATTGATTGAAATAATTTATATATGAACTAAAAATGTTTATGTTACACAAACAACTATAAAACCAATTGCTGATTATCCAAATGTGAATTTATAGGTCATAAATTAAAAGTGTGATTTTAAGGTTTAGTTTTCACCAGACTTGTTTCTTAACCCTGAAACAAAAATTCACTTAAAACACTTAAAATTCTTGAGGCAATGAGTCTTCAGCAAACTTTTAAACTTGAATCGTCCCTTATCCTTACAGATTTTCCACAACAAACACTTCCTTCATCATAAATACTACTTCAATCTGGTAGCAAATAAAAATTCCCCAACAGGAGGAAGAACAGTAACAAGAAAACTGAGCTGATCACAGATGAGTAAGAAGCAATAATTCTCTTACAATTTTTAAGTTATGATAACATTAGCATAAAAATTAACAGCAATAAATAAAACTAACCTTAGGGAGGAGATCCTTAAAAATGCTTCCAATTAAAGTGTTGAAAAGGTAGTAGCAGTAAATAATAACTTTAGGGTTTTTTTAATCATTTATAATAACTTTCTCGTCATCAACGGAGAAAATGTACATGATTGGAAGGGTAACATTCTCAAGAAAAAAATCAAATTTCAGTCAGCCAAATATAAATATAATACAAAAAAATTGAGAATTGGTTCCTTTTAATTATATTTTGCCACTAAAACTCAATAGCAATCAAGAAAATATTAGTTATTACGATGTTTTTCCCTCATTACATAAAATTGTTCTTGGTCAAAGGTCATAAAATGGTTCAGAAAAGAAATTTAGCATTTCTGATCCTTCTTGCAGGCCCAATGCCACTTGATCCTGGATGAATAAACTTTACCCATTCATCTCTTTTAGCAGGTCCTAAGTATTAGTGGCACTAATCAAATCTGTCGTCAAAGAATTCTACTTGATAAGAAGCACTGTCATAGTTTAACTAGCAAGGCCCTTCATTCTTAGTTGTACATCTAGATGGAAATGTACCAAAAAGTTAACTGTGGTATATCTCTTGGGGGATAGTAGAATTGTGGGTGATTTTATTTTAAATCAAAAAATCAAAAATAAAAGATTAAATGGCATTCACATAACACATAACACACTACTCCATGAGGGAGAATAGAAACCAAATTTAGTACTGAATTTTCTCGCAAAATTTACAACACATTTAAATGTCTAGTCAGTATGAAGAATGCAACAAACATACAATATAATTAACTATTAAATATATCAAATATAAAAATTCTTATTCATTCTGTTAATACTATAGCAAATCTTACCCTCATTGTCCACACCAAAGTCAAATTTGTTGCAGTCCCAAGATGTTAAAGAGTTAAGTCAGAGTTACAAATTCTTGAAATACAGAATTAAGATTTAACCAGAAAACCTCCCTTACTTCTACAGCATTCACACCTGTCAGGTGTTAAATAAGAATTAAGCATGGAATTCACATTTAAAAAAAAAAAAAAAAAAGGTTCTGACTGCTGGTTTGGTTTTTCTTACAACCGCACACCAAAACTTTCAGTTGAGATGGCTTACTTTTTTTATATAAAAATATTGGACATTTTGTTTTAACAGGTGAAAACCTCCAGACTTATTTTGACATATTATTGCCTCAATATAACTTGATAGCAATTACCATTTGTCAGCTTTTAACAAAGTTTTTGAGATTGAGTTTAAACCTTTACATAGTAAGGTGGAACAGCAATTGAATTAAAAGTCTAAGAAAAAAAAATACCATAAAAAGAGAGTCTTATTTAAGCTCTTAAGAAGCTATAGAAAGGGGAGGAGGAGTTAGTCATTCTGTCTAGTTGGAATTTTATTCAGTTGTGCCAACTAAATATGGTAGAGGGGTTAGAAGAAGGGAAAGGAGATAACACAGGAGTGGGATGTTGTTCTGGGCACAAAAAGCAGCATGTAACTGCACATTGGCAACAGTGAGACAAGCTAACAAAGGGGACAGAAGATGTACTTGACAGTAGTATAGAGAGTTAGCAGATGAGTAGGAGGAGGTGGCATATGAGACGTAGGCTGGGGTGCAGTAAGAAAGAGACTTAGTGGTAAAGATGAATAGCTTAAACGGAATGCAAAATACCATAAGGACCCAATGAAGCAAGTCCAGAAGCCCAAGATAATGAATGGCTACAGTACAGTATTCCAAGCTGTCTAATGGGTAGCTATTTAGACAAGGAATCTTTAAAGGGGAAATTACAAAAGTCACAAGAGAAACAAAACTTAGTTACCTGTGTTTGTTTTTTTCTTTTAGAAATAAAAACATAAAATGATTTAGAGGCACCTGAGTTGTTTATTTCTGGTGTTTTCATAATTTGAATAAATAGGAGGAAAACAAAATGAAGTAAACTCAAGTCTAGACACTTAAGAAATTGTTGTGTGAACAAATCCAAAGAGAAGAAAAGTGATAATTAGGGTAGGTGAGTAGGATCTGAAGTAAAAATGATAGAGGATAAGACATTCTTGTCAACTTGTTAGTTAAAAAAAAGTGTTTAGGAAGATACAGTAAAAAGAAAATAAGGAGAAATAACAAAATAAATAACAGAATGATTTATTATATCCTAAAAGCTTCAAATAGAAAGAATGTAATATAGTGACAGTAGTAAAACATTGAATGTGCTAGAACAATTTTCCAAACTATAAGTATATCTTTTAGGATTCTTTTTGGTTAAATGCAAGTCTTGTTTATTTAAACAACTGATTCTTATTTTTTCAGAAATGTTGTATTTCAACTGGAGAAATTTTAAATATTATGAAAAATTCAGCCATTGTTCACTAACCCTCAATAATTTAAAACAAATTTAGTAATGAAGGTCTTATTGTGTACTACACTTTTTAATTTGTTCCTTGACCAATGTTATTTGAATGCTAAGTATCATTTGACCTTAATGAGCTGCCGTTTTATCAAATTCACCACTTTTACCACTAGGTGGCGAAAAACCCCAAGTAGTATCTGTTATCAAAGCTGGTACAACAACCGAAGTACTTTAACTAGAATTTCCACCAGGTGTCAAACAAGGGGAAAAAAGAGACTGCTTTCCCCACCAAAACACACAAATTCAGTTTTAATCATCTAAATTATTTCAGAGATAAATAGCCGGCCCACAAACTGTCCAAATAGTTTGCATATTTATACCCTCATGTAATGTTGAAGATATTGCCTCGTCAACTAAATTCAAACAAAATTTCGTTTCTTCCAAATAAATAAGAAAACAGCAAGCCCAACGAGTTTAGTTTATTGTGACTCATAGTGTCAACCTATCCAAATATACTGCGCAAGAGTCTAAAACATTTTAGACACGGACAGCCAAAAATCTTCCAAAATGTTTTTGGTTATGTATAGACAGCTCAAGTCATAGTTTTCCTTTCTATATTTCTTTTATAAGCAATTCTGTTGATTACAAAAATCTAGACAAGTTTTATGCTGTTATGGTTTGAATCGCTGTGATTTTATGAAAGCTTTCCCATTTGTTACATAGCAGAGATAAATGTACCTGTCTTTAAGATGTATTATGAGAATTATTGTGTTAACAGTCCAAGGCTGAAAATTAAAATTATAGCTTTACAGAATTAAGCCCTACTTATATACCAAATCATGCCTTTTAAATCCCTCTTAATGTGTTTCACTAATTTCTAACAAAGATTTTCCGATCTTGTAAACATTGTTAGCTCAAACACTATGTCATGCTACCTTTTATAAGGTGGTACTTTTTTAGGCCGAACTCTATTCTTAATCCTCTGGACATAAGAGTTGTAACCAGGTCATACTCTACAAATCCAGCTGTAGGCGGTGTCTTAAAAAAGGACTTTTCTTCCTTCGAGGAAGTGGTCAAGCCTTTCTTCCCCCTGGTGTCATCATGCAAACAACTTGGTTGTTTTTCATCGCTATTTAATTAAGAGACGGAAGAGAATGCAGTTGAGAAAGCAAACCCTACTTATTAAATTATACGTGCTTCTCTTTCATGCTCTTTATAGTATTCTCCTTTAAGATTTTTTTGGCCTCAACTGAGTTCATTTCCATCCTGCCTGCAAAGCACGGGTTTTAAAAAAAAGAAGAAAAAAAGAAAAAAAAGCCAAAAATGCTCTTGTCTAAGAACATTATTTCTTGTCTGGTTTTATTACTTTTTTTTTGAAATTCGTTAGCTTATGCTAAGCAACCACGCTTGCCCAACCGGTTTCTCCCCTTCCCCCACCATCTCTGTTCACATATCACTTTTTCCTCCTTCCAGTCAGGCAGTGGTCAAAACGCTGCAATGCCTGTAACGCACGCTTCAGGCTGGTCACTCAGCAGTTTATCCTTACTTGGCTTTGCAAACAACTCGCCACCGAACCCTTGTCCCCCAGTGCCCTCTTCTGCCATTATCTTTAAATAGAGTGTGCTCGGTAAGGGGCTCTAGACAGCACATAGAGGGTTTACGGTAGCCTGCCTACCAATAAGAGCCCACAATGAAGAGAAGTCAGGTTTAGCCTCCCAGCAGCCCGTGTCCTCTACCCCAAGCTGTACACCTACTGTACCCGCGAGCGAGCGAAGGAGGGAGCGAGCCCAGTGCGGGAGGGGCGCGCAGGGAGGGCGGGCAGCAGCCGCGGCGTGCGCATGCGCACTGGCGTTGTTTTTCCACAAAGCTGCTTTTAAAGTGAGCTGGCAGTCTCCAGCCGCCCGTCTTTGTAAGGAGACCACTGAGAGTAGCTGGAGAGCGGAGCAGCAGCCTCTCTGCTGCCCTGACTTTTTAAGAAATCTCAATGAACTATTTGTAAAGAATCACTGATCTTGCCTGCAAGTTTTTGCACGGCAAAGACATTGATCAGTGTTAAGTGAAGGTCACATTTTATATGTGATCTTGACTTTTTTGTCTTACATTATTTTTTTATAGATTTTGTTATAAACATGGTGCTGGGAAAGGTGAAGAGTTTGACAATAAGCTTTGACTGTCTTAATGACAGCAATGTCCCTGTGTATTCTAGTGGGGATACAGTCTCAGGAAGGGTGAATTTAGAAGTTACTGGGGAAATCAGAGTAAAATCTCTTAAAATTCATGCAAGAGGACATGCGAAAGTACGCTGGACCGAATCTAGAAATGCCGGCTCCAATACTGCCTACACACAGAATTACACTGAAGAAGTAGAATATTTCAACCATAAAGACATCTTAATTGGACACGAAAGAGGTAAGTTTTTATATTACTCAGAAATCATTAAACCTGTTTTCTTTGGGAAAGTACCTTTTCAGTTTTTCTGAATTAATGTAATTCTACTAGCATAACGCATAGCAGTTTGGTAAAGATTAGCAAAGTTGTAAGATTTGGATTCTCCTTGACAGTCATCGTGTGTTAAGTCGTAATGCATGCAGGCATCTGCAAAGTGACTGCAAACTGCACTTATTCAACTACCTCTATAGCCAGCTTGGTCTGTGCCATACGCACTTGGAATCCATATGCACCTTACTTATAAATTCTGCTTAAATCCAACTGTGTTTTCAACTGAATTGCTAATGCAGTCCAATGAAATTTTTTACCTTATACTCTGCAACCTTAGATCTTAAAAATTAAGCTTCAGTGAAGAAATAAGATAACACTTTTAAGTGGGTTAATAGGTGTATTTCGTTTTTAATATTGACATGCAAAAGACTTTAAAGAATCGATCATTGTTCTTTGATAAAGGGTTTCTGTGGCTTATTTTGACATATGGTATCATCGCCCCACGTGTTTTCCCTATTCTTTCCAGTTCCTTTAGAAATTTATATCAAGCATTCTCTATTCTAAAGGATAGTATCTATCATTATGATAGGTTTCAAATCAATTTTAGAAGCCATTTAGGGTCAGTAATTTTTTTCCTCCCCAAGCATCATGCCTAACTTTGGAACGTGCATTCAATGAAACCCATGCCAGTCAAATGGAATTGAAAAGTATTCGGCACACTGGATTTGATTTTTGGTTAGAAAAGGGAGATAAAGGGTTGTCAAAGGGAAAACGGTCCTGAGATTTCCAATCGATTGTTTAAAATGTTACATTGTCTTAATATAGGAGACTCTAAGCTTGTTTTTCTAAGTTTCCACCCTTTGTTAGAAGCGGTTCAATCCTGTTTCGGACCAGTTCTGGGGGGTGGTGAGGAGGGGCGCTTATTCAGCTCTCAGCAGATTGGTTACACGCGTCAGGTGGTGGCGATGACTTAATTCCTAGTCCAAGAAGAATATAATGTTAAAACTGGTTATGTAATTTTGTACTTCTCCTTTTAAATGCAATATTTAGTTCAAATGTTTACTACTTTTCAAAGACTAGAGCACATTTTTACCTTTTTAGTATTAAAAAACATGCCTGAGGAAATACTAATTGAACTAAGGCAAGTGTAGAAATTAAGGATGCTTTCAGTTATACCATTAATGTACTATTTTTTAAATATTAAGATGAAGTCAATTCTTTAGTTAGGTTTAGTTAGGTTTTCAGTTACACGTGGGTAATTTGCATCTTAAAATAATGTCTAGTTAATCTAAAATATCTAATGATAGTCTTGCTATATGTTGAAAAGCAGACATGAGTTTGTGTTTGAACCTTTCTGGAAATTGCAGCTTTTAAATGGGTGAGAAGAAACAAAGGTTTTTAAGGAGTTGAGGCTTGCAGTGGGGTAAAGAATAACGATATACAGGGACAAAAACAATTAGTTTGCTCCAAGATTTCATTGTAAAGAAAACTATGTTCCCCATACCACCAACGAAATGGCCCTCAACCCCTGCAAAGCGTGGACAAGGTCTTAAGCTGGAATAGTTTCAATGACTTAAAACAGGGACCTCTCAAACTAGCCTGGTAACTGAGACCCCGCCCCGGGCGACCGGCGATAGGCGGAGCCGGGTTTGTTAGCCTGTTGCTAAGGCGATGCCAGGCTCTGATTGGATTGGGCGCGGGCGGGTGGGGAGAGTGGGTCGAGCAGGCTGGGGCGAGGCTTGGAACCGGCGTGCGCCGGTAAAGGTCCCTCCAGAGCGGTCGCCCCCGCCCCTACTTGCGTCCCTCCCCGGGCTTCTGGAGGTGGCCAGAGCCCATGTCACGTTTTATCCTCCCTGCACATCTCCCTGTTCTGAGCCCCAGAAAGAAATGACTTTAGGTGTGAGCAGAGTAGATGGTGAGACAGTCCTGCTGGCCTTACAGGTGCCGAAAGACCCTGGGCGCAACTTTAGCTGACAATCCTATTCAAAGGGAACTTGGGTTGGCAGGGTTTGCAGGACCCCATTTTCCTATTTTGGGGGTGGGAGGTTCAGGAGGCTTCTGTGAACGCTTGTTTTCCTCTTAGCTGAAACAAAGATTTTCCGACCAATACATTCACCAGACCGGCTACCTTAGTTTGACTTAAGGGGAGAGATAGGAAAGGCTGGCCAAGAGGGGAAGAAAAAGTGACAGTAACATCGAAAGCTGGGTGGGAACCTCGGCGAGTATTCCCTACCCCTCCACCCCCACCTCGTTTCCCGGGGTTTTTCTCCCCTCCCCCAATCGTCCACCGCCCTAGTTTCCCTCACCGCAACTGTAAAGGTGTCAGGGTGGCCAGAGCCAGATCGAACCGGTCACCAGCTGGGGCGTGTAAAGCGGAAGCGCCGCGGCATGGTCGCCCCGCCCCCGTCCAGCAGGTTAGGCTGCGCGGGCGCGAGCGCCAGCGCCGGCGACGTATGCCGTATGTATAGGCGCGCGCAC